AAGATTGCAGTGTAAAAGAGCTTGTATTTTAAACGTATTCACCGGGTTTCAGCTTCTTGGTCTAGGTGACATTTTGAGGAATTTTCACAAAAGGCTACGGCAACGATACTTATCAGCTGAAAACGTAGCTCTTTTTAAACATATTCCTTTAGTTCACTTTTGTACAAGCCTTAAATTTACAACATAAGTTTGCCATTGTCCGGACCTTTGACTTTATGACTGAAACTTCGGACAGCGATTAGATGAGAGTGGGCACCATAATGGGGCCATATTAGCTCAGAGCCAGTGTCCACACATCATATAAGCTCGTTAATGGCGCATATTACATCACACATTAGCGGAAAATCATTATAGAAACTTTGACTTGGCCAGTCCATTATCTTGTTATACAACTTTTCCTCAAGGCAATTGCTAACTCCCCGTGGTATGGCTTTTAATTAGTTGGTGTTATTTAATATGTATCTTGGAAAGCAGAATCAATGTCTCTAATGCAGTGATTCTCAACCACTGTGCGCGGCACACTAGTGAGAGATCGTCAGGTGTGCCGTGAGAAATTATCCAATATCACTTTTTTAAAATAAAAATTTATTAATTATTACCTGCAAATATTATGTCATTGTCGAGTGTCCGTGCTGTAGTACAGTGTAGTATATAATGACTGGCAGAGTGATCTAATATTCGTCCGGATGGCGACAGGCAGCTAATTGCCTCGTTCCTTTAAATCAGTGGTGCTCAATACGTCGATCCCGATCTACCAGTCGATCGCCAAGGTCGTGTGGGTAGATCGCCGTGTCTCGTCTCGGACTCGCGTTTGGACTCGGTCTTGTCTCTCACTCAAGGTCTGACACTCAACAAGTGCGATCATATTTCATTACGGCCGCTGCTGTTGGTAATAAACCTGTACAGGTGTGCAGGAGCGTGTGGGGCGTCTCAGTGCAGCCCGCAGAGACTCTACGGCACATCACAAACACACACGCTCCCTACGCACGGCTCGTCTGCAACAGCGTGTGCCCTCGTGTCCCAGCGTGTATCACAGGGCAGGTTAAACTTCCTAAACATCCTACCTGTCCATCTGCCTCACGTCAGCACGCCGCCCCTCGCCTTTTCACGCTCTCGCTCCTTCCTGCGTACAGCGAACACAAGCCCCTCCCACAGTGCGGCTGATTAGAAGAGCAACACGAAACGTGGAGCAAAAACGAGTCTAAAATTTGTGTTACAGTGTTGGCACAAAGCAGGTCTACAGCATAGAGCAGATCTACAGAACAGACCTACTGCCACATTTGGCTGAAGTTTGTCTAACAAAAAGTGCACAAATGCATCTGTGTTTGTCACGATGTGCGTTTGGTTTGGTAAACGTGCAGAGGCTGGTAAATATCACTGCAAAACCAGAAAAGAATGCAAACTCCAGTTTGGAACTTTAAAAAACAGGTTTAAAAATCTTCCTTCACTTTTTTCACAGTTTTGTGTAAAGTGCCACAGGAAGTTCTCTTAAAGAAGGGGTTCTCAAACTGTGGGTGAGGGTCCAAAAAAGGGGCACAGAGTGTTTCAGTGCAGTTTGCTTGGTTGTGTATTAGGTAGATCTTTATGACTTGGTCATTTTGTAAGTAGATCGCATGCTGAAAAAGTGTGAGCACCCCTGCTTTAAAAGAATTAGTAACGCATGTGCGTGGTGACAGTCATGGAAAAGTTTTTAAAAATGGACGAATGCGAACTCCGAAATGGGCCCTGGACAAGATTCTGACCCAGAAGAAGAGCTTTTTCAAGCTTAACTGCTATAAAAACTAAAAACAGAGAGAGACTGAGAGCTGTTGATGAAGAGCTTCGTGTGTGTCTTTCTTCTATTCCTGCCAGGATATCAGCTTTGTGTTCATCTAAACAGGCGCAGGTCTCACACTGAGTAAGTAGAAATTAATGTAGAAATTATATTGTAATTAAATATACTGTATAGTGTCATTTTGTAACATTTTGGTTAGTGGTGTGCCGCAAGATTTTTCCAATGTAAAAAACGTGCCGTGGCTCAAAAAAGGTTGAAAAACACTGCTCTAATGTTTGTTGAGAAAGCCTTGAAACTTGAACTCCTCAGTATTTGCGTCTTAATGTGGACATTTTAAATATAGATTAGCAGTTACCTTGGAAATGAATGAGGATGATGAGCCGCTTTCTTACTGTGCTCTGTAATTCTTCTCATAAAAGACAGCTTAACCCACTCATCTATACCCAGATATTAAAGGGGCACTGTGGAACTTTTCTGGTGTTGGTTTGTCTCCATGAAGATGTTATTGTTGTGTCTAGAATATTCCACAGTATGACATTAGACTCTATCTTCCATTTATTCAATAACAGATATTTTAGTATTCAAAAACAAGAATAATTACCCCAAAAAATTACAGAAAAGGGACACACTTTGAAAAGAACAGTTTTAGAATTATTTATATCTATATTAGAATTAGTAGGATAACCTCTTGCTAAAAAACAGTAATATTTGATGTTGAAAATACATTGCATTGTAAAATAAAGTTATTTTTATCTTTGGGGTTTCAAGCCCTTTCCTGGCCAAGAATCATAAAAAATATTGTATCATTTCACCAATAAAAATTCCAAAAGTAACCTGACTACTGCTGCCAAAAGTGCGGTTTTGACCTATTCACAAAGCCAGGGATGCTTTTTCTTTGAATTCAAAGTTAAACTATGAAAAATATATAAAAATATATCTGTCTAAGAAAAGCTCTGCATCTGTCAGCTTTTCTAAACGAGCTTTTTCTGAACTATCTGCTTCAGTGAATACATTATCTACTGTAATTGACAGATTTAACACATGGGTTATCTTAAAGGTATAATATGTAACTTTCTGGAGATAGCATGTCACCTGCATGACTTGAAGTAGAAAGTTAATACCATACTGTGGAACGTTCACCATGGAGATGGATGAGTTTTATGCCATTTTATGTCATTGAAAAAAGTCAAAGAAGAGTGAGGTCTGTGGAGAAACGAGCCTCATGTTAAAGACAGGAAGGTCACATGTTCACAAGTTTTTCAGTGCAATACACACAAACAAAACTAAAGCACATCATTTTATTTTCTTCTTTTTTGGCTAAAAAGTTACATACTGTGTCTTTAAAATCTTTTCTGGTGAAGGGTTTGCAGCGTTTGTTTCTGTCCGTGGGGATGCCATAGTGTGGAACATTTCAGCCGAAGTAATAACACTGCTATGGAGACAGCACTTTTAAACTGTTATGGCATGTGCCAAAGGTCTGAGAGATGTAACAGCGCTCAATGACCTTTTAACATTTGAATATTTGACCAAAAACGTCTTATGTCTTATTTATGTTTGCCTTTGGTTATGTCAATCGGGGATTACAGAGCTTTAACTGGGCTTTACACTGAACTCCGGCCTGTATCTTAGGGATTAGAAAAGAATCAATATTATCCTAAAACAACTTTGCAGCGAGTGTTTGACTTACAGCCTTAGAATAAGGAGAAGATGTTTTAGCTCAAGGCCAAATGTACAAACCAATGAAACTCTTGTAATTGCACTGGGGATGTTGCTTTTGCTTGTGTTCACTAAATTCTCAGTATCATCTTGCTTTGCTTTAAGCAGCTTTGACTGGCTGGGATTTCAGACAGCAATTTTTATAATCTCATAAAAATATCTCATTAAATTGTCACAGTACAAAAATTGCACATAGTAAATTATATAAATGAAATTAAATCTTACCACACCGACAAATAATTTAGCTTGAAGAAATATTGAAACTAACTATGTGATCTTAAGCTGTAAAATAAGACTCATATTGGTTCAGAGAAAATCTGTTCATCCTTAATTGAACCATGTGAGAAAAAACATTCAAATAGTGTAAAAAAAATTAAAAATACAACATTAGAAAATACATATGGGGTTTTTAACAACAAAATCAAATCTAATTGGTCAATTATAGTCAGTTTTAAGGTTGCCACACACTACAGGAGAATTTGCCCGATTTAGGCTGCGATTTCTGCTCCCCAAATTCAGGGAAGCGTGACCCAACTTTGTGTCTTTGTGTGTGATTTTGAAGCCGCTGCGCTCCTCAAGTGTGTGGTCAGTGTGACTCTGAGTCAGATCTGTCACCAAACATCAGTAATGCTACAGTAACAGCGAATAAAACAGAGCGTCAGGGGCAGAGGAGTGAGTGGGACACAGAGGCGTAACATACAAACTCAGGATATAGCAAAAATAATGACAAGTCTTTATTACTCACTTCTCATCCACATTATCCATAGAAATTGTCCTCCACAAATAATGACCTCCAGTCCATAAAAACGTGTTATTAATCCAGTTTGAGGCATTTTTTGAAAGTAAAAAGGTGAGAGTAGTTCCTCACGTGTGTTTGTTTAAATCCACAAACCGCGCGGATCGAGGTGAAGCTGCAGATGAGTGATAGTGATTCTACTTCCTGTGGACTTTATCGCCAACCTTTTGTACATTAAAACTCATGTATCTGAAGCATTGCACCACATTTCACAAATAATAATAAAACAATTTTGACTTGTATCTAAATAAGAAATGCAGAGCTCTAATCTTTGAACCCTTAAGCGTCCTAAGAGGAAACAGCTGACGCGATCATACTCATACAGATTTATAGCCTGTGGTCCGCAGACATATCCTGCTTCAGTCTTTGCGATTGGAGATTTTAAGTCTCTTAAGATTCTCCATGTGTCTGTGTTGTGCGCTTTTTTTGTCGCGCATTTAAAACTCGTTAAAGACTGAAAAATCCTGTAGTGTGTGGTGACCTTTAATTTCATGAAAATTACATATACTAACAGATTTTTTTTTTTTAGTTCAGTACTTATTATTATTATTTTATGTATGTATGTTTGTATGTATTTATTTATATTATTATTTATTTTATTATTTATTTTTTCAGTTCTTAAATTTTTTCATTGCAGATTAAGTCTTTGATATTCTAAATTCAAGCAATTTATTTTGTATTCTGCTACACTCTGATACTGAAGTTTAGTCTTACCAGTCTCTCCCCACACAGGCAGGTACTCGTCTTGTTGGATGTCCAGCATGAGCTCCAGTCCGTTGCCCATGCCCCCCTTCGTGGTCACCAGGGGGGTCTTCCCGTCCTGCCCCGAGTTAAACATGTAGCATTTACCGTAACGCGTGAAGATCTGAAACAAAACACAAGAACAGCAAGGATTTAGAGGAGGTCTCAAGTAAGGAACATGTAGAGTTGATTTTATAATAAGAGTCTTGCTCAAGGATACGGCAACAGTGTGCAATGGTGGAAAGCACAGTTCAAACTGCCAACCCAGGGATCTTGCACTGAAGAGGTGGTTCAGGTTAGGATTCATTTTTGAAGAAAAGTGTCAAAAGTGTGCAAAAACTAAAAAAAAAAACATAAGGCCTACTGGAAAATACTGGTTAACTTGGAAACTTAAAATTAACAAATTTCCAGTTTTTTGGTCAAAATAAGGATGTTTGCGTTGGATTTTTGTTGGGACTTAACATTTTTTGGTCCATATATAGTGGCCTAATACATTGAAAGCATTTAAAAGATTATTAAATTAAACAAAGTCCAATTTAATGTGCACTGTGTAACTTTCTAGTGGAGGATCCAGCATCTCCTTTTCTTCATAGAGATATTATTTTGTCTTGAATATCCCACAGTATGGCATTAAACTTGTCTATTTACATGAAGATAAGCCTCCAGGCCAAGTTACAGGTCAGATCTGTGGAGAGGGGAGCTCACTCAGTGTAGGAATGCATGTTTTTCAAAGTATTTTTGAGCAGTAAAACACATGTAATGGAATAAATCCAACATAAATGAGTGTAATGCCGCACTATGAAACAATCTGGGCAAAGCAAAAATATCTCCATGGAAACAAGCATAGCCCCTACCGGAAAACTTACACAGTGCAGATTTAAGATAATTTTGAAGTTTGTTGTTGACATTATAGACGTTTCTAATGTTTATAGACAGAACACCTTCATTCTAAAGGCTGGTACTTTTCCAAACATTAGTTCCAGTGCATTTTCAATAGGAAAGTTAGCATTAGCATTAGCGTTAGCGTTAGCGTTAGCATCAGTTTCCAAACATCACTAAACAAACCAAACTATAAAAACCCGGGGCTGTTTTGGTGACTGACATCCACTTGTCATTACCAAACACACCAACATTACCAAAACATTATTAGTTCACTGACAAAACAATCAGCACCACAATTAGCACAAAAGCTAATAACCACGTACTAAAAAAAAATCTGAAAAAGTCTGGGTCACAACTGCAACGGGTAATGAAATTTTAGTTTTATTTCATCAAGCACCATAAATCCAGCATAAATTTGCAAACTTAATAAAAACAGAAGTGGAAGTTAGATATTGAATTGTTTTACTCATTGCCAAATGTAATGGACGTAACAACCCACAACCATTTATCTGCTCCACCTATAAACGTCAACGTTCAGTTTTTTTCTTTTGTTGCCTTATTAAAATGAATGGGACAGAACATTTGTATCAGCACCAAGTTGTGTGCACAATAATTCTGATCCAGTGGTGGAAGTAAACAATGTACAAAAGTAAAAGTACAATTTTTAAGGACAATTTTTAGGTATCTGTACTTTACTTGAGTACATTTTACAGTGGGTCCTTTTTACTTTTACTTCACTACATTTGAGAGCAGATACTCCACTACATTTTAGATCGAGATAGAAAAGTTAAAAGTATTTTTCTTTATGGTTTGAGACCTGCTGAAGTTGCTGAGATTTATTTTTAGCACATTTAATTTGAGTTAAGATCCCAACTTTGAACAAACCAAATACACAAAAACAGCAAGACATTTTAAGAAATGAATTGAATCACTTTTTTTCCCCCCCAAAATCATTACATTTGATGCTTTAATGTTCTAATAGTCTCTTGCAAAATACTTTTACTTTTTACTCTGAAAGTAAATTTTCAGCTACATCAATATTTTTACTTGAGTAGATTTTTTCATGTGATACTTTTACTTGAGTAATCTTTTGGCCCTGCATCTGTACTTTTACTTAAAGGTGCACTGTGTAACTTTTTGGGGGGTGGGTCCGTCACCTGCTTGTATTCATGGAGAAGTTATTGCTTTGCCTAAAATGTTCCATAGTATAGCATTAAGCTTATATTATTACTTACATTTATTCAATTTCATGGGATTTTACTGTCTTGAAAAACATGCACTCTTAAAGCAGAATCACTTTTCCACAGATCTGACGTGTAACTTGGCCTAGTAGCTTCACCTGCTTGACTCCATGGAGAAGAGTTGATGAACTTCCATGAGAAAAGTTCCACAGTGCACCTTTAGGTAACAAAACTGAGCACTTCATCCACCACTGAAATGATTTATTCAAAATCTAAAAGCAAGTGAAACAGTGATATGAAATTGTGTATTCAATATAAGAATTCACTTAGTAGATACAAACAAAACTTTTTCAAACTTGACCGAAAATGTCGCTCGGATATATTTATGTGTTTTTCCCAAAGTAAAAGGAGTCAAAGTTTATTTTTGCCTGTACAGATACGAGTCCGTCATGTAGTTGGTAGTCTGAAAGCTTCCCTCACAGCTACGAGTTACTGCACAGGAAAAAGTGAAATATACACACAACTCTGAGTTCAATGCTTGTACAATGTCTCATGCTTAGAAATAGTCTCAAACTGTAAAAATGAAATCATAATCAATAAAGTACCAGCAACATAGCAGGACATAAGACTAAGAACTCAAAGAAATACTTGCTGGCGGTGTCTGAATGTCCTTCCAGTCCTTTCTACATTCTGTTTGAATCCAGAGGAGACTGGTATCAGACCACAGAACATGAAAATTATCTGTTCAAACTTGAGACGATCCATCATGTGTTTCTCAAATGCTCAAATCTCCTCCCCAAAATTCTTGTTTCATTCAAAAATATAACTTCTTTCACCTGAGATAAGTAAAAGTTTGGTGCTTTGATTGTTGATTCTGCAAAAATCCATGCTTTTTCTCAATCCTTTATGTTGCCTTTTCCCCTTTTTGTGTGTACGTAGTCCTGTCAGCAGCGTCTCTCTGTGTCAGATTGTGTCACTCACTCGCTCTGAAATCAGGAACACAAGATATGGCTCCAGATCCACTCGTCTTTGTAAAGTTTTCTCAAAGAGTGTGGTTCTGTCTGGTCAGGTAATGAAAATGCATCAATAAAGTACCAATAACATGAGAGGACATAAGACTAAGATTTTTTTTTTCCAACTTTGTTTATTGAACATTTTTAACATTAACAAACAAACAGAGTTCACTGTATTGAATAGTACCATTATAGATATGACAGTAAAGAGGACACATCTGAATGTCAACACCCCCCACCCCCACCCCCAACCACTGGCCAAACAACCCAAAATAACATTTTAAATAAAACAAATAAATAAAAAATAAAATAGTAATAATACTAATACCAATAATGATTAAGTAAAGAAAATTAATAGTAGCAAATAAATTTAATATTAATGTATTAATAATTATTACTAAATTGATTAATTAATTATCAATTATTAATTATTGTAAAGTAAGAAGTAGGGATGCGAAAGAAGGAAAAGGAGCCTATAGCAGTGAAAAACATGGGATAGGAAGAGGGAAAAAAAAGGAAAAGAATAGAGAGAAAGAATTATTTCCTATACTTTAGACTTCCTCCAGATCCTGAGGAAGAGTTAAAGAGTCAATGTGACGTAAAAAGGGGTCCCAGGCAGCATGGAAATATTTAACAGAGCCTCTGAGTGAGAACCTCAGTTTTTCAAGTTTAAGATTGTAAAGCACTTCACGAACCCAGCGAAGATGTGTCGGGGGATGGGGAAGTTTCCATTTAAGTAAAATCAGCCTTCGGGCCAGTAAGGTGGTAAATGCTATGACCCATTTCATAAGACTAAAAATTTAATCAAAATAACTCATGCTGGTTTTGTACAAATGTCCACTCTATCCCTAATCCTTTATTCAGTACATAGCCCCTCTCTGTTTAGTGAACTATATCATTCACAGAGCGTTTCTGACGTCTGGGTGAAAAAAAAACTCAGCTAAACTCAGATAAAACTTAATTTCAGTATAAATAATACATTGACAATAATTAATGATTAAACAGGGAGAGGCACACAAGTATTTATGGACTAATAATAACCATACAGTAGTAGTAATAGTAGTTGCAGTAGTAATGGTTGTAGGAGTTAATTGTTGTAGTAGTTTTGTAGTAGTTGCCGTTATTGTAGTTGCAGTAGAAGTTGTAGTGTGTCAGCTCTAGCATGAAGATTTCTAAATGTCCTACTTGTGTGTTAAAGGTGTTAAGAGTAAAATTAACTTATTTTGCCTAACCTTGTTTACATTCAGTTCCAAGTAAACATGCTTATCAGACACAAATCAGAAATATGGATTTAAAAATGGCATTAGACAAAAATAAAACAAAAAATCAATTCAGAAAGTTCAGGTTTGGCAAGTATGTTACACAATCTAGCTTTGAAGGTTACAGCTACACCCTGCTGTGATGTAGACTTGAATTTCTGGTGTGAGAAATGGCCCATGTGTCTTAAAATGATAATATATTCACAGTCTACAAGAAACGTTTACCAAGGAAATAAGTAAGAAAGTTGATGTGGTAATGAACATAGTAATGGCCATTCAAAGGTCTTATATTAAACATAATTGACTCTTGTGAGCTTTTAGTCATGTTATAATGTCGTCATCTCCTCGAAAACATACCTGGAGTTGTGTTTTGTTTCATTCACACGTTTGAGTTAGTCTGTCTACATCTTCAAAGTTCAGAATGCTCTGATCCACCTTGTGATGTCATGCAGTTATAGTTTTCAAGTTAACAGCTCCTTTTACCTTTTGTTCAGAAGAGATCAGAAATACCAGAGCTGACACGATCCAAATGATTCTAGTGAAGGCGTGTGGAGTTTAAAGTGACAGTGGAGCACTTCCTGTATTACCACATGACATCACAAGTTGGAACAGTGTGATTTCCGTTTGAGAAAAGAACTCAGCCTAAATATGAAGGTTTGTGTGTTAAACTTGTGAGAATGAAACAAAACACAACTCCACCAGGTATGTTTTTGATGAGGAAACAACATTAAAACATGGGTCAAAAACAGCATAATATTGGCCCTTTAAAGCCCATTACTGCAAAACTTC